AGAGAGAGAGAGAGAGAGAGAGAGACGATCGACCGTAATTTACACTCTGGATCCTCTTTCACAAAATTGCGTTTCTACCAGTTGTCGTGTGGAAAAGTGAGACATACGTTTTGACGTTCGTCGAAAGATTGAGTTTTAAATCTAGGTTTTCTTGCAAGTTTTATATACGTATAAAAACATACGGAGTCATGGAAGTCTTACGATCTGAACTTGCATCATCGTTTAAGACATTCGCTGGTGCTGAGGTATTTATTTATTCTTCAATGAGAATTATAACTTTTTTTTTTTTTTAGATTTAAACCTTAAATTTCGAAATCGATAATCAAAAAATGAGCCAGTCAAGTGGAAATTACATTTGAACGTTACTTTTTTCTTTCTCTTCTTAATACAACTCTATTTTCAGCACAATGCATCACGATGGTTTGGAACGGTTTTTTTTTTTTTTTTTAAAAAGCCAGTATCAATTGACCAGGACAGATATGACGCGTGAATCCTCGCTGGATGAATGGCCATACAACTATGTCCTTACAAACAAGAAGCTCCTTTTCCTCTGTACCTTCTGAAACGTACATCGTCGACGAACGAGTCACCGTGGTTATTCCAACATCTTGTCACCGATACGTCAACGCGAGCTGTCCAGCGCCACGCGTAATACATCACTTTGGAAAAAAATAAAATAAAATTCGAGACGAGCTCACCTCTCTAAGCCATGTACGTTACAGCTTCGTTGTTCCGCCATTGATCCCCGTATCTTAGCCGAGTCCCGAGAACGAGTCGAATAACGACGACCATTAATTTTCTCGACGTTATATAGCGGACATCCTCGTACGACCAGCTAGCTTTACAAATGGCGAGTGCTACGGTATGCATGGATACTGTCTCGAAATTTTCGACTTTCTTGCCCGACCTCCGGAACAATTAGCAGGGTCAATGGAACGTTTCGTGACGAGAACGTTCCACTGTGCACGTATCACGCGTCCAACCAAGACCGAACCTCCGCGATGACGATCCACAGATGATATCCGTTAGGAAAATTAAATTGAATTAAATTGGGAGAAAAACATAAGCCGTTCAGTAACCAATGATCGTTAAGAAATACTAAATGATACTAAAAATATTATTCTTAAATTCATCTTGAGATTTATTTTTTAGTATTAGTAAATTAACTCATCGAAAATCGAAAATTAATCATCTTCGTATACTTATGTAACGAAGATGAGCGATCGAGGAAGTGGATCGCGCAAATGGTGGAGTTAACCAGTTTGGAATTACGAAATGAGAAAAGGGAAACGCCGATTCAAAGTGTCAGCACGGAAAAAGTAATAATTACGACTCGGACGGGAATTGTTGATTAAGCGATCCAACCTCAAGACATCGATACGACTTAGTTAATAGCCGGCTCGTATCTAATTTCACTCTGTTCACGCATACGGAGCGCGTGCTCGGATAGATCGTCCACGTGCACCGGGTCGCTTAACGGTCTGAAACACGTAATCTCGACACGAATTTTCGACTTTCTTACCAGCCTTTCGTCTCGGAAACGCTGCCTCTCTTTACGACCAAGAAGAATCATTCTCTCGTGGCGCGCTTCGACCGTCGACAGAGATCGAGCAGAGGAGAAACGAGTCGAAGAAGAAGAAGAAGAAGAAGAAGAAAGAAAGGGACCGTGAGATGCGTTCAACGAAGAGAAGAGACCAATCTTAAGCAGCGTACTCGCGTCTAATGGTCGACCGTGTACGTATGTCTCGTCATGTACACGCGTCCAACGGAGACAGATCGAGCAATACGATGAAGAAAGAAAGGCGAACGCAACAGCTCGGCCGAGGTAGAATCCTGAAGGGAAAAGAGAGAGAGTGAGAGAGAGAGAGAGAGAGAGAGAGAGAGAGACGGAGAGGGAAAGAAAAAGAGCCTGCTAAATGTTGGTCCAAGCGCGTGGGATGCTGGTTGCAGTTAGGCTCGTGCCTACTCCCTCTCTTACCGATCCTCTTTCTTCTTTGCTCCTTGCTCCTTTTCTTCTCCCTCTTGTCCCTCCCGCGAGCTCTGACTTTGAATACCGGTCGGGTCTGTCGTGCGGCTGTGTTGCGGTCGTCGAGTTAACCACGGTACTCACACGCGTCCTCCCTTTTACACGCACGTTTGCTCATACACATTTAGTCGTGCACATCTACCCAGGTATCGTGATATAGGAACGTGGCCATAGGTACGATTTAACAAACCAACATACGGTTAGAGAGCACGCGCGTACCAGTACCACGACAGCCTGGAGGAGATACATACTTCTTTCCCTATGCGTGAGTGCGTATGGTATGCCGTATGTAGATAGATTCGGATGGTGCGTGGACCAGTCCCGGCGTGCGCAAGCTGTACGGGCGGACAATGCCGGAGAGAGGTTTGTGCCACACCTCTTTTCTTCCTTCTTTTCCATCTTGGACCCTCGCCGCGCCCTTGCAGTAGATCTCTCCCTCGCTGCACTGTCTCTTCCTTTTCCTCTTCTCCTTCTCCTTCTTCCTCCTCTTCTTCTCCGTTCCTTCTTGTTTTTCTTTCTACTTGTTCCTTTCCTT